AAAGGGAGGTTAGGCCCAGGACGGCAGGGTTGATGCACAAATAACACGGTCCTCCCATATTTATGATAAATTTGAAGTTTGATAAATGGAGGTTAGGTCAAGGACGGCTGGGTTGATGCACAAACAACACGTCCTTCTATATTTATGATAAATTTAAAGTTAGATGAAGGGAGGTTAGGTCCAGGACGGTTGGGTTGATGTGTAAAAACAAAACACACACCCAACACTATATCTACAATATTGAACACAGTTCCAAGTTTTAAAGGAGAGGGGCTGTTAGGTCCAAATCCAAAACATCACTTTTCTATGAATATGGTTACGATGTTCAACAAAAAACCTAGCAGGTTAGGCACAGTGCGGATAGGTTCATATCCAAAACTTCAGTTTTCGAAGAAAAATAGATAAAATATTCAACAAAGCTCCAAGACTCTTGCAGGTTAGGCATGGGCATTTAGGTTCATATCCAAAAAACATCACTTCTCTGAGTATATGTCGCATCAGAGGTTGGGTCCAGGTTTAGTTGGAATGGGTGAAAATGTGGATAAAATAGGTTTTGGCTGTGCTATGATACACAACATTTAGGCATATTTGGTGGAAATTGTCTCCAATTTGATGGCGATAGCGTAAATTTCCCCAACTTTAATCAAATCTGCTAGGTCAGGGTTAGGTAAGGCTATGTAGGGTAGGTTGGAATATGTGATAACTCGGCTAAAATGGTCTTTGGCTGAGCTATGTAACAAAACATTTTGGGTATATTGGGTAGAAATTGTCTTAAATTAGGTTGAATTTAGGTGAGTAAGCATAAATTTCACGAACTCTAATCAAATCTAGCTTGGGATATGCTAGGTCAGGTTAGGTAAGGCTGTGTAAGGTAAGATGGAATAGGTGAAAAACTTGGGTGAAATGAACTTTGACCATGCTAAGATACAAAACATTTGGGTATATTCGGTGGAAATTGGCATAAATTAGGTAAAATTTAGGTGGGAAAGGCATAAATTTTGCCAACTATAATCAAATCTGACTTTGGATATGCCAGGAGAGGCTGGGTAGGGTTGTCTAGGGCAGGTTGGAATAGGTGAAAACTCAGCTAAAATGAACTTTGGCCATGCTAAGATACAAAACATTTGGGTATATTCGGTGGAAATTGGCTTAAATTAGGTAAAATTTAGGTTGGAAAGGCATAAATTTTGCCAGCTATAACCAAATCTGACTTTGGATATGCCAGGAGAGGCTGGTAGGGTTGTCTAGGGCAGGTTGGAATAGGTGAAAACTCAGCTAAAATGAGCTTTGGCCGTGCTATGTTCCAAAACATTTTTGGGTATATTTGGTGGAAATTGTCTTAAATTAGGTCAAATTTATATGGGATAACTTAAATTTCGCCGACTTTAGCCAAATCTAGGTTTGGATATGCTAGGATAGGTTAGGTAAGGTTGCGTAGGGTAGGATGGAATAGGAGAAAATGTAGGTAAAAATGGGCTTAGGCAGTGCTGTGATACACAACATTTGGATATATTGGTGGGAATTGCCTTAAATTAGGTCGAATTTAGGTGGGATAGCTTAAATTTCGCAGACTTTAACAAAATCCAGGTTTGGATATGGTAGGATAGGTTAGGTAAGGTTACGTAGGCTAGGATGGAATAGGAGAAAATGTAGGTAAAAATGGGCTTTGGCAGTGCTGTGATACGCAACATTTGGGGATATTTGGTGGGAATTACCTTAAATTAGGTCGAATTTATGTGGGATAGCTTAAATTTCGCAGACTTTAACCAAATTCAGGTTTGGATATGCTAGGATAGGTTAGGTGAGGTTGTGTAGGGTAGGATGGAATAGGAGAAAATGTAGGTAAAAATGAGTTTTGGCGATGCTATGATACACAACATTTGGGTATATTTGGTGGAAATTGCCTTAAATTAGGTCAAATTTAGGTGGGAATAGCTTAAATTTCATCAACTTTAACCAAATCTAGGTTTGGATATGCTAGGTCAGGTTAGATGAGGTCGTGTAGGGTAGTATGGAATAGGCGAAAATGGGCTTTGGCAGTGCTATGCTACGCAACATTTGGGTATATTTGGTGGAAATTGTCATAAATTATGTCGAATTAAAGTGGCATAGCTTAAATTTCACCAACTTAAACTAAATCTAGGTTTGATTATGCCAGGTCAGGATAGGTGAGGTCGTGTAGGGAAGGACATATATAATATCTTAGGGTAATGAACTAGTATGTTTATGAAATAGTGTAAATTTTTCCTATTTGGGGTTCGAGCTATACGGCAGACTCATATAATGTATGGACAGAGGCGACATAGGCTTGTATGTGAGGATATGGGATGCTCATATTTAGTTAGTTTAGCTAGGTTGAATTTAGTCAAATTTGCGTAGTATAAGTATATTTTTGATAGATTTAGATGAATTTAAGTTTTAACAGGATGCATTTTGATAAGATATAGCAAATTTGTCTAAAATTATCATAGAAAATACTGACTTCACCTAACCCCACCTGCCCTAACATATCTAAGGCTAGAACAAATAAGTCTGTTAGATGGTTTGAATAAATACATAAATATGCTGGTCTGATTGGAGAGAATGTAACAAGGAAGGTATTAATAAGACATAAAAACAGTGGACATATGTTAGATGAATAGTTTAGCACTAATAATGTTGATATCTTAATGGAAAAAGAATGTGTTATATATTGAGCTCATCGGAAGTCATATGCACCATTTTTATATGTGAAATTCTGACTTTTGGGGAGTTGGTTAAACTCAGCATATTATAATTAATGTCCTAAATATACCCAGTAAAATATCATGCAAATTGTGTATTGTTTGACCTAGTTGGTTGTGTTTGTACATATATAGCACAATTAATATACTTGTGTATTAATTGTGCAGATTATGTATTTTGCATAAGTTGTATGATTATTGCAATCATGTATTGATTATATTTCTATAAATTGTGTATTGTTTTGTGCAAGTTGTATGTATTAATTGTATATGTTTTGTATGTGTATTTGCGGAAATTGCTTAGTTGTGTATTTAATGAATATGTGCTAGTTATGTATTGTTCATATTTTGGTAAGTTGTGTATTGATTATATTTTTGAGCAAGTTGTGTAAATGCCGCAATTGTATTTGTGTAAATCGTGTATTTATGGTAGTTGTGTATTTTCATATTTGGGGTAGTTATGTATTGTATGTATTTGTGCTAGATATGCATTTGTACAAGTTGTGTAATAATTATGAAAGATGTGTAATATTTGTATAAGTTGTGTATTAATTGCGTATGTTGTGTAATTGCATATGGACGAATTGTTCATTTATACCTTTGTGTATTGATTGTCATTGTGCAAGTTGAGTAATTATATAGCAAGTTTTCTTGTAATAATTGTGCAAAGATGTAAAATAATTACACAAACTGTGTAATAATTGTCCATGTTTTATAATAATTTTTGTGATAATAGTGCATTTATGCAAGTTGTGTTTTTAATTTGTTGAAGTGGAACTGGTGCAACTGTATTTGTGTGTGAAAATTGTGTATTTTGTGTAAGCTCTGTAATCTGATAAAATAGATCTTCATGGTGTAAGTGTATTTTGGTTTATGAGACAATGTGTGGGTATTTTGTGAAAATTATGTTTGTGAAATTATGTAATTTTAGTGAAAGCGCATTTTTGATTGTCTAAATGCATAAGCATTTTGATATATTTGTGCAAAATACCGTACTTTGTGTAAATGTCATACTCTGAGTGTCCATGCAATATTGTGTAAATGCTACATTTTCATGTCCAACTGACATATTTTTGCATGTAAATGTTATATTTTTGTCTATAAATGACATGCATATGTTACGAACCCGGATTCAGCGTCCGAGCCCGGAGCAGTAACGACCACGCCATCTGTGGGTCAGCTCCCGAAACCCCCGCCAAACGGACGACGACACCAGGTGAGGACGGCGAATACCGGCCACAAGGGCCAGTTTCCAGTCCTGTTCAGCGCTCCACACCGCCGCTGCTGACCTCTGGTGAGGTGGTGCCCAGACTACAACGCCATCTATGAAGTGGATGTGTCGGGCGTTTGTGTCTGAGCCTGTAAGTGAGGTGTTTTAGTGTCCCAGTTATTGATGACGTGTCTGCTTACAGAGCCGATTTCAAAGAGTAAGGACCCCGTTTTCGGATTTTGGGGTATTTAAACATAAAAGTTATTATTATATATCTCGCCATGGGTCCCAAGAAAGCCTGTGGTAAGGTTCAAGCCAAGAAAACACATGTGAGAATGACCATAGAGGAAAAACAAGAGAGACCATTCGTAAACATGTAAATGGTACATGGGTTGTTGAACTAGCTAGGCAGTACAATAAATCTATGTCAACGATATGCACTGTAATTGCTAAGAAAAAGGACATTATGAATGCTAAAGTGGCAAAAGGCATATCAACAATCATGAAACAAAGAGCACAAACACTTGAGAATGTTGAAAAGTTATTAATTCACCCAGAGCAAGCTGTAGTAGGCCGTTGTGTTAACCTTTTTAATGACAATGTGATGTCTCACTTCAGACAAGTGTTACAAAGTAGGGAAAAACAAGTGTCACTAGACAGGTTTTTAGTGAGAAAAACAAGCAGTGAGCCACAAGCAGGTCCTAGTGGTATGCAGAAAAAACGTGCCAGAGAGTGTTCCCCAGAGAAGTCATCACTGCTTGATGTTATAATGGAAGGGTAGAAGGGTACCCGTGGCCCCTCCTCAGGCTCCCCCCAACCCTGGGAACCAACCATAATACCCATGGGGCGGAGCCCGATAGGTTCGGGCTCTGGGTTCCTGGTAGGCCAACAGAACTCCTAAGACTGAAGTAACTGTGTAGGGGACGTTCACTATCTCAGTGACTATAGCATTAGAGAGCCACAAAGGCGCTCTCAAAGAAATAATATACATTTTATTCTAAAAAAAACTACGAAGATGCCCAATACAGTATATACGAATATTGGGAATTGTACAAAAAGAAAATTACTTAACAAGATGAGTAGTAATAACTATTATCTTACCTGATACCATGAAGTTAATACAGCCATATTAACCTGAGTCCTCTTAATGGATGGTACTTTCATCATTTCATCTTCAAAATCAAGATCTACCAAGTCATTCTGACCCATCAGCTGTGTGATCATCTTATGAATGGCACCTCTGTAATAGCCAAAACATGTCTTCACTTTCCAGAGTAAAATAAATTAAGCTTAAGCGATAGCGATTTATAACAACTCATAACTTAATTACTCTTTTAGTGTCTCACAAACTGAAAGACCTACACGAACAGAAATGGACCATCCTCACCTAAGAGTGGTGCATTCTCTACTTCGAAGCTGTGCAATGTGTGGTGTAACCCCTTCAACCAGAAGGCCAACTAAACTGCTAAACACTGCATCGTGGTCTGGCATGTTTACACCCGTTACTAAGCATGCTGTAGGTATATCTCTCTGGCCTTCCACTGATTTACCACCTCTAGTCGAAGCATTTATGGTGCAACTCTCCTCGCCAGAATTTCTAACAAATTTCACCAAGTCTTCAAATACTTTGGCATGAATACTGCTTTGTAAATCCTGAAATTAGTGGTAAAAGATTCATTATGTTATTAAATCAATGAAAAAGCAAAAAAAAAGAGAAAACTGTTTAAATATACCCTGATGACAGTTATTTGTGTAGCTGCAGGGAATATAAAAGGAATAAAACCAGTGTTGAATGTAATGAAACACCATTTTCTGGGTGAGCCCCGGAGGCTCCCTGGAGCTTATCGGGCTAATGTATGTTATATTAGACCGGGACATTAGCTAAGGAGTTCAGACCTACCAGGGACCAGCGCCAGAACCTGGCCCCTTCAGAGAGGTTTCAGGGAACAATGGCCCTGGAAAACCCCCTTGTGGTTGGGGTTTTCCTTATCTGCCATCGACCGGGGTTAGGCACCCAGAAAGGTAGGCATAACAAAACAAACCCCACATGGTAAAAAACTAAAACAAAAAACCGAACAGAGAGGTAGAAACTCCCTACAATCCCAAGGAAACAAGCAAACATCACACTTTACTGCCGCGCCGATCGTCCGCACAACCCTCCCCGCCCCCAGAGGGGGAGGGGGGAGCCCCGGACCTCACCGCGCCATTGCCTAGCATCAGTTCGGAAGCTAAGCTTCAACCAACTCGAAAAAAACGCCAACCAGTGGGAGGGAGGGTTGCCAGGGAGCCTCCGGGGCTCACCCAGAAAATGGCGTTTCATTACATTCAACGCTGGTTTTCTGTGGGGAGCCCCTACGGCTCCCTGGAGCTTCATACCCAAAGAGAAGGAAAAGAAAGGGCTGACCCGGGAGGCGGCCGCCACAAACTCCGCAACGCGAAGCCGAGACAACAGGCTGCAACCTGCAACCCAAGGCAACAAGAACGCACAGGAGTAGACACGCGCATACAGAACGAGCGGCCAAGAACCTGTGTGACCCTCAAATCCTTGCGCCCGAAATGAGCCCTAGACGTCACCAACAATGCAGCGAAAGCTGCAAACGTCCGAACAGCACGGGCGCAAGGCTAGACCGCAGGCTGGAAGACTCAAAAACTCTGCGGACGACATGGAAGACCCGAGCTATGAAACAGGGAACGAGGGGAACTGGATCAACCCAAAGCGCATCCCCAGACACGGTACGCAGGTAACGGCAAAAAAGCGCAACCGGACAACACAGGACGCACCCCCGGCCGAACCAATCAAGCATCAATAACCCAAGGACCCCTCTGGAAAGCAACCGTCTCGACCGTCGCCAGAAGGACAGAGAAAGGCTGCAAACGTACAAACCTACCACCAGTACCAAAGAGCAGAAACCTGAACCGAAGGGGCTACCACAAATTGAGGAGAAGATAAGAGCCTGATCAAGGTCCCTGATCAAGGACCAGGACAGCTCAGGCGACACATGAGCAGGCCGGAGGTGAAACAAAACACGAGAAAGCGTACAGAACGGGGCAGATGTGACATCCACCCCGAACGCAAGCCGGAGCGGCTCCGCCAGCGCCGCACAAAACGAGGCGACAGTAAAAAACATCAAATAACTGAAGTCCTGAAAACCCAAGAAAGGACAAGACAACCCGATGCGAAAGAGAAGACAACCTACGAAGAGCAAGAAAAAGGTGCATAGAAACACCAGGAACATCATACTGTCGCCGAGACGAAGCTCGCAGGTGGGACACCATCAACAAAGCCACCTGATCACCACAGAGATGGTGATACCCGCGTCAAAATACCAGACGCGAAGAGCCGAGGAGAAGGCCGAACTAGTCACGTACAGAACCGGTCTGACCTGCTGAAAGAGGCGGAGCCGTGGGAAAACGCCCCGGGTTCAGACACCTATCAAGCAGCGTCTGAAAATAAAGCTGGCCCGGCCACCAAGGGACCATGAGGACTACTCTCTTGGAAATGGGCTCCAACCGAGCCAGAACCCGAAGCAACAGCTGGACCGGGAGCAGAGGAACAGGTACCCCCACCTCGACCAGTCCTGCCGAAAGGCAAACACCGTAAACGCCTCGCAGGCGGGTAAGGGCGCAACATAGAATGGGCGACGCCTAGACGACGCCGACTCGAAGACGTCCATGGCCAGGAGTCCATACGTCCAGCAGAGCCAACGAAACGAGTCGGCGACGACTGGCCAATCTGCGAACAGAGGAATGAACCGAGACAGGCTGTCCGCTAGGACGTAGGACACACCCCGGACATGAACCTCACGGTTAGCCAAACCCCGAGAATACAGCAAACGAGCCACTCAAAGGGACCAACCCCAAAGGTCAAACACCTAAGAGAAACCCTGTGGTTCCGGCAAAGAACCGTCAGAGAACAGTCTGAATGGAGCTGAATGGTAGAGGACCGAGTGACCCGAACCCTCCGAAGCGCAAACCAGACAGCCACGAACTCCCAAAGCTCAAACCAGACAGCCACAAACTCCCGAAACGTGCTGTGAGCCCGACGGAGAGACAGACCCCACCATCCCCGGCCGACCTGGTGAGCACTGGTCACAAAGCCCCAGCCGAGAGATGACCCGTCCGTAAACACATCGAGCGAAGGCTCGGAAAGGTGCCAAGGCACGGAACCCCGAAAACCCCAAAGAGGAAGCTGGTGACGCAGCACCACCTGGTTGATACCTGGTTGATGGGGTTCTGGGAGTTCTTCTACTCCCCAGGCCCGGCCCGAGGCCAGGCTCGACTTGTGAGAGTTTGGTCCACCAGGCTGTTGCTTGGAGCGGCCCGCAGGGCCACGTACCCACCACAGCCCGGCTGATCCGGAACTTCACTTAGAAAACCGTCCAGTTTTCTCTTGAAGATGTCCAACACAAGATCCCGGAGGAACGAACCCAACGATTGCAAGAGAGGCGGAAGGGAAGTCTCCGAAGGAACCAAACAGACGCCGAAACAAACCCGACCCTGCGGGCAGACCAGCACGTCGAAGTTCAGACTCCCGCACAACTGCTCGAGCAACTGCCGAGCAACCCAGGACCCCCTCATGAACAGCCGAAGGCGGGACCACAGCCGCAGCAACGCTTCTGTTGGGAGAGACAAAAAAGTGGTCAAAGAATCCGAAACAAGACCCAGCCAGGTCCAAACCCGGGACGGAAACAGATGGAACGACCTGCAGATCAAAAGGAATCCGAACTTGGCAATCTGGAAAGAACCACACCTTTGGCGAGCAGACAAGCGGACTGACTGGGAGCCCACACCAGCCAGTCGTCGAGGTAGGCCAGAAACCGAATCCCGAGCAGAAGCAGACAGGTCACCAAGATCCGGTAAAGATGTGTAAATACACTAAGTGCCAATTACAAACTAGGGAAGGCAACAAAAGCGGCAAACCTGAAGCCCCACCATCAACTGTGCCAGTCCCGGAACCCTGGAGAGGAATGTGCCAAGAAGTGACCCGGAGGTCCAGGGGCACAATCCAGGCACCCGGCCCCCAATAGAAGCCGGACCGGAAACAACAGTTTTCCGAAGAGGGCAAAAGAATCCAGGGTGCAGGCTGCATAAGTCCAGAAGAACCGCAAGGCCCGTGTCTGCACTAGAACAGGCGGGAACCTCGGACGGATGGGGCGGAACGACCATGTCCAAACGCACCCACACCAAGATGACATGACGAAGCGCAGGGGAACAAGCCCACACTGCCAGCCCCGAACCCCCCAAAGGGGGAGAAGCCGTCCGATGCCACCAGAGGCTGGAGGAGAACCACAAGCGAGAGCTAACAAAGCAAGCTGCACCCCCAGCGCCCCATCAACAGCAAAGTGAATGGAACCCCTTCCAAAAGAAAATGTATATATATAAATACACACATACATACATGTACATATATATATATATACACACACATATATACATACATACCTACACACACAAAATGTATAAAAACATATATACATACATGTAAATAAAATTTAAAATAAATTAAAGAAAAGAAAAAGACAAGCCGCCGACTGGTGGGCAGAGAGCACCACACTGGCCAGTTGAAGAAGGCACCAAGAAGCCCACCTCGACAACAAAAACCCAAAGCCCCGGAACAACCACAACACGTGCCAAGACCCAAAAAGGTCAGCCTGCAAGCCAGGAAAACCTCGGAACCCCAGAAGGCAGAACCTGGTCACAAACAAGGTAACAAAGCCCCCTGAACCCACAAAGGGTCCCCAAGAGGAAGATACCTCCAGAACGAAACCAAAGAACCCAAGGGAACCTGGAATCGAACCCGGGGGAGCCCAAACTATCACATTTGCCAGCGGAATTGCACCACTGAGGGGCAAAGCACAGCACCCAGGGAAACTGCCAAAACAGACCGAAAACCGAGGGACAAGGTGTGGGAACAAGGGTAAACAGACAGGGATACTGAGCCCAAACCCTAGGGCCCAAACCCAGAACAGACAGAAAATGGAAAAACTGGTGTAAAAACCAACACCCAACTGTTCCCAGAGGAAAAGAAGACGGGCAGAACACCCCAGAAAAACAAAGAAATGGCAACAGGAGGATAAAATCCCTAACAGGAGGTGAAAACTTAACCAAAACGCCAGCTCGCACACCCAGGCAACTGTAAACAAACGGCAGCGCCGCCCGTGGCCAAGCGGAGAGTTATTGGGGCCAGATTCAGGAAGGTACTTACGAAGGTTTTTCTTCTTAGCTACGAATGTTTTCCTTCTTAGCGCCTTCGTGGCGGCTACGTCGGTATTCAGGTAGCTACACTAAGTGGAAAAACCTTCGTAAGTTTGGTCCGGGATCTAAGTGTGGTTTCGACCACTCGTAGCTTTACGTAAACTGGATATAACTCAATTTTTCTCTACTACATAACACTGGGATCGATTTTAAGATTTTGGAACATAAACAAAAGATTATAAAAATTGAATCTAGTGAAGAGGAGTCCTTCGTGTTAGTTATATATGCATTCTCTGCTTGAAACTTAAAGTAAATATGTCTTTTATGATAGTAGAATTAGTTTTATAATAGCAAGATATTATACCCGTAGTTATTAAGTAAATAAACACTGGTGAACATGAAATATGAGAGAAGGTGATGAGCCCTGCCTGATGGGATCATTTACTATCACCAAATGCCCCTGTTCACCTAGTAGTAAGG